TTAATCTGCTGAGCTATTTGGCCTGCCCCTCCTCCTCAGCCTTTTAAATTAAATTAAATTAAATTAAATTAAATTAAATTAAATTATTGTTATTATTATTATTTGGTTTTAGTTTGAGACAGGTTCTCATTTAGTTACTTAGTTGCCTGGACAGGACTTGAACTTGCAGCCCTTCTGCCTCTGCCTTCGGGAGTGCTGGTATAATAGGTGTGTACCATCATGATCAGCTGTGTATTGGTTTTAAGAAGAAGAGCCACAGAGTGAGAATCTCTTTGCCCAGGTCACATGGCTGGTGAGTGATGGATGGGTTTGGGGTAGGAGACAGCATGTTTCTTTTTGTCCTCCCACACCCCTTCCTGTGGGTACATACCCACAGTCTTTTTTTTGGTACCAGGAATTGAACTCAGGATCTTGTGCTTGCCAGGCAGGCACTGTGCCCCTGAGCTATATCCCCAGCCCCCACAGTGCAGTGGCTTAGCTTTGTTGGTACCCAGTCAAGACATGCATACTCCATTACTGGACTGATCATTTGAAACACACCCTTGCTTCTGTTTGACAGTAATGTACTTCCCAGTATGGAAACCCAAATACTCCTTTTCCAATTCTTGGCACTTTGCAAGTCTGAGCAGTAGGTCCTGAGGCTCCTGCGTCCTTTAGAATGAATCAAGGATGCATTGTAGGCTTTCTGCACGGACACAACCCGTGCATGAACATGGACAGCTCACCCTCGAGCGTGGATTTCAGACTGAACTTGGCACACTTACAGTTTAGCTGTAAGCCCAGCATGGGCTTTATGGCAGCTCATTCCTGTCAGCACAGAGCTAGGTCCCCAAGGAGCCCTAGGCTGGAGGGGCCATCTGAATGGTGGCCTGCTCCGCAGTGTGGGTACATTCCCTGATTTAACTGAGTCAGTTGGGTTATTTTTGCTCTTCGGTTCTGGGGCAGGGCTGGCCAAGCCATTGTGCTGGCAGTTCCCAGAGAGCGCACACCTTGATTGATGGGGTCAGGTGTCCCAGAGGCCCCAGTGACTAATATTTAATTTTGCTCCTCCCCCAGCCTCATGGTTTATAAATATGCTGTTATGTGGCTGTGCTGTTTTTAGCTGCAAACATGCTCTGTTCAGCTGGAGTCATGTTCTGTTTGCCATATGCACACTGGCTCCAGAATTTGCCAGGAGTGCTGAAGTGGGGCAGTCTCCGGCCTAGTCACTGAGACCCCACAGTGAGCCCAACACGCTCACTTGCTGCAAGACAAAGCTCCAGCCGTGTTAAGTTACAGTGCTGCCTGTTGAGAAACAGCCTGGCCATCTCTGGCAGCCTTGCTCTTCTGGCTCTGACTAATCCCAGGATAAATCCTCTGGGCTGTGGGAGATGACACAAAGAAAGCTTCTGGCAAAGGAGATTAAACTTGAAACAAGTCATAATGAGGCTGAACCATGCTCTGCTGCTCTTGGCCTCTCTCCAGGCCCCTTTGAAAAGATGCTCTGATTGGGGTGCTCCACGTGGCTGGTGCTCTCCCCAAATGGATGCTGTACACAGCCCATGGGTGGCTCTCAGGCCTCTTCCTTGCAGTGATTGTAGCGAGGTGGCTCTCAAGAATTTCACAGTGCCACGGGCCTTTCCTCTGACTCCTGGAGACTGACATCTGACTTACTTACCTGGATCCAAAGCCAGGCACAGTGATGTATGCTTGCAGTCCCAGCTGTCTGGGGTGCTGAGGCAGGAACATTTTAATTTGGGCCCTGTGTGGGCAATTTAGTGACCTAGCGAGTTGCTATCTCAAAATAAAAAATAAAAATAAAAAAGGGCTGGGAATAAAAAATGTAGCTGAGTGCAGAGTGCAGAGGCCCTCAGTTCAATTCCTACTTAAAAAAAAAAAAAAAAATCCAGAGAAGGCCCAGAGCTAGAAGAAGCTTAAGGGAATGCTGATATCAGTCAGGATTCCTTGGTATCAAGAAAGAGAAATATATTCTTAATGAGAGTTAACCTGCTTAACCAGAAAGGGACTTTTTAGAAAATAAGTTCCCTAGAGCAGGGGTTACTTTGTGCACTGCTGGTTCCTGATAGAGTAGCACCTTGGGTATCAGAGCCACTCAGGGCCTCGGTCCACTCCAGGTGCTTCACCATGGTGCCCCTGCACTGAGTAACTCACACACATC